AGTAAACTGAAAGATCAATACAAAAAATGCCTGCTACAGCATAGAGATTTTTAAAAATGATGAAAACAGAAAAAAAGGCAAGAGACACACGGAACAGTAAAACATGTACCTGAGACCCCAGAGAGGAGGAAAGATAAAACAGGGAAAGCATTATTTGGAAAGATAAGGGCTGAGAAATTTCTAAAACTGACAAAAAAGGCATCAGTCTCAAAGACATGAACCCCAAAAAAGGAAAAAGGGAAGAAAATCTGTACCCAAGCTCACTTTAATAAAACTGCTACAAAACCAAAGACAGAAGGGAAGCTTAAAAGCAGACAGAGGAAAAAAGAAGGCACGTCAAAGGAGGTACAGCAACACCAACAGAGATGTCTCAAAAGAAAAACACATAAGGATGCAAAGGTGTCTCTAAAGAGCTGAAGAGCTGATTGCTGTGCCCCTCAAAATGAAGACAATTAAAAGTGGAATTTTAATCAGCAAAGTTACACTAAAAGAATTTTTTTAGTTGGGAGCAAAATGCTGTCAGAAGGAAACAATCAATCTGCCTATTAGTAAAGACAGAGAATGCAAGTGAGCCTGACCAACGTACTCTATCGGATGGATCAGAAGACATCACACATCGCCAAGGCACACATTCTCCTCTGCTGCACAGAAAAAGCCACCACAGCAGATCCTACACTGGGTCGTGAAACAAATACCAAAAATTTTCAAAGCGTCTATAGTATGTTCTCTAATTGCAGCAAATTAAATTAGAAATGAATCATTAAAAAGGTAGTTACAAAATTCCCAAATGTTTGGAAATTAATCAATATGCTTCTTCAAAAAAATCAGAATGAAAATTAGAAGGTTTTTGAACTAAATTATAATACGACATATCAGAAGTAGTCACAGGCGGTAGCTAAAGCTGTGCTTACAGATAGAGAAATTCATAGGCTTAGGGGCACAGATTAGAAGGAAGCCGGTAGGGGTACAGTCGTGCACTGCATGAGAGAGGCATCTTCAGGCAACGTTGCTGCACAGACAGTGGAGTACACTCACCCACACAGGTGCTCAGCTGCCCACATTCTCTTCATCTATCCAGAGACTTGGCCCAAGACATAGAAGGCTACTGTCATCTGGCTGTAATTTTTTTAAATAAGTACAATGAGTACATTCTTAAAAACCAATAAAAGTATAATATGTAAAATACCCAAACCAGTGCCATAGTTACTTATGAACACATATTAGGTGCTGTGTGCAATCGTAGCTGCTCTACTTCCATACAAGCGGGAGTGCAGCATTGCCACAAACACGAGTGTGACGTAATAGGTATGCTATGGCATTAGGGTGGCGCCACAGTGCAGGCAACAGGAATTTGGTAGCTCCACCATAACCTCCTGGGATCACCACTGTGTACATCGTGCTCCGCTGCTGACTAAAGCTGTATGCAGCGAATGACTGCATTTCACTGCTCTTCAGATAAAACTACAACCCCTGCCATGGTCTGGCTCCTGCTTGGAGTTTCACTTTTGTCTCTCTTCTCATTCATTACTCTCAGCCATACTGGGCTTCTTTCAGTTCTTTGAATAAACTACTTCTTGCCTCACTGCCTTTGCACATGCTGAAACTGGTCTAAACTGCCTTCCCCTTTCCTGTCTTCTGGCCAGCATCTCATGTTCCAGGAGTCAGTGTGGACATCACAGAGAAGCCTTCTCCAAAGTCCACATCTAAATCAAGTTCCTCTGACATATACCTTAACTCACATTCTTTCTTGCATGGCATTCATCACTCTAATCAATAGCTGATGGGAAACAGCTCGTTGCGCAAATTAATTTTAAAATGCTATTTATTGTTCCCTTAACCCTCTAAGTTCCTTGCTGGCAGAGACTACAGCTGTCTTGCTCATCTCTGTATCCCTGGGGCCAAGCATGGTACCTTGGCAAGTCGTATAAAGTCTATATACGTGTGTTAAGTGAATGAATGAAAACATGGACATCTAGTTTACTATCTAAATAACCATTCAGTTTACCCAAAGCTGTTAAAAAATGCTCCACTGTCTTGGAAGAAAACTCCCAATATTACTGCTGCCAGCAGTTGGCATTTATTTCTATGACATTTACAATGCAATTTACAATCATTTGCTAATCCAAGAAATCTCCCAAAGATTTTTTGCCCTTGATATTTAAGGAAAATAGTTTCCAACTTTACACTGCATTCTGTTTACTACATTTGGGAAAAGACAAAGTATTTTGGAAACTGAATTTATCAAATCTGTTCTATAGCAAGCAGGTGCTGTAAAAGTGATTCAAATGACTGCCATCATTAATAACAGCACTAAGGCCATTGGGGCTGTTGTAGCACAGTGTTCTAGACAAGGTGCTTAGAAACAACAGGCATTCATTTCCCGCGGTGCTGGAGACTGGGATGCCCCGATCCAGGTGCAGCCGACCCAGTGAGCCACAATGTTCTACTTCCTGGTTCATCAGCTCCCTAACCTGGGCTTTGTGTCTGTCACGTGAGCCACAATGTTCTACTTCCTTGTTCACAGATGCTACCTTCTCTCTGGTCCTCGTGTCAGGGAAGGGCGGGGGCACTCTGGTGCTGGTCCTACAAGGAAAACTAACCCCACGGGCCCCACCCCCACAGGGCCTCCCTTGCTCCACACTGACTAGGTTTCTGAGGGACATAGGTTTGATCTATTGCAGTCACACTAACACCAACAGGGACTGTTGATACACTACGTCTGCTTCCCTGGTGGGTCTCGGTCACCGATCACTCAAAGTGTCAAGCGTCTGCCCTAGACCAGTAAGTGGCACACTGCAGGCTGAACTGGAATGGGCCTACTGTGCTGCCCAAGCAGGCTCTCAGGGCTCTACCTGCCACCCATCTCACACAAAGAGAGGGCTGTCCCAGGACACAGCAATGCAGACATCAGGGAAGCTCACACCTCTGAGCTAAGTTGGAATTCCAGGCCTGCCATATAACCAGCTGTGTTAAGTCAGCTTTCAGTCATGGTGCCAAAATACGTATGAAAATCAGTGTGGAAGGAAGAAAGGTTTCTTTTTGCTCACAGGCTTTCAGTCTGCAGTCACTTGGGCCCGTGGCTTTAGGCCTGTGGCAGTGTAGCCCATCAAAGTGGGAGCGAGTGGCAGAGGAAGTCTGACCGCCTCATGGCAGCAGGGGAGCAGAGAACAAGAGGACAGGGCCTCAGTGTCCTTTCCAAAGACACACTCCTGGTGACCTCCTCTTAACAGTCTCCCTCTGTCCCAACAATGCCATGGGCTGAGAGTGGCCTTAGGCACACGGGCTCTGTATGGCGTTCCCAATCCAACTCCACGCCAGCACAGCAGGGGAGGTGTTCGTCCTCCCTAACCTGGGCTTTGTGTCTGTCACGTGGAACTCGAAGCAGCAAATGACAGGGGCAAACCGAAGGGCCTGGCAAAGTACCTACCCCTCAGTGATGTGCTTGGGAAAGGCAGTAATTATTGTCAAAGGATGTTGTAAACAAACAAAACTCTTATACGCACTTAGACTAGAGATGCTCTCCCATCTGTTTCTCCCTTGCCTTCAGGGGGTGGAAGGGTGGAAAAGCCTGTGACAATGAAGTCAGAGTCACAAAGGTGGGTGTCACAAGGCAATGGTCACTGACTACAAAGCTGTCTGGCTCCCTAGCCCCCACACCATCCCACCCCACCCCACCAGAGCCTCTCCCCTCCGCAGGCAGGCTGCTCCTTCCTCCAGGTGGACAGGGAGAGGGGCCCCGGGCGGCTCATTTCTCATTGCCAGGGATCATATTACTGCAGTGGCTGTCACTTAGCCGCCTCTTTGATGTGGCTGCTCCTCCCACTCCCCCTCTCCAAGTTGCTATTCTGAGTATTTCGCAGCACCGGCTGGATGAACCTGCAGCACAGGGAGGAAGCGCTCAGAAACAGGCCCCTGAGCGACCCCCAGCCAGGTGCCTAGGCAGGCAGGTGGCACAAGCCCGCAGCACAGCAGGGTGTCTGCTGTCCCTGCAGGGACGCAGTGCCCGGGGCTGCTGCTTCCGCTCAACCTTTGCAGGTCTCCACTGGCAGTTGGAAAGGTTTCATCCTCCCAGCTTCCTAGTCTTGCTCTAGGACTTGAAATTTCAAGACAATTATTTGTTTCCCAAAACCCATTCTTTAATTGGTTCTGACATAGCCTAGCTTCCCCCAGGTGCAAGTGTTTCACACTCAGGAATAAAATCCCCACAGTGCTACCTGTGCTGGTCTCGGCCCTTGGGTCTGCTATGACTGGACATCTGTCCCTGCTGTCCTCCTGGTTCCTCTATGGTTCTCCACAGCATTCTCACAAGTATTCTGTCGCCTCCTAGTTCTCCAAACTACCCTTGGATGTTTTCTTCTCGTGGTGCCCGATCTAACCACTCTGTACCGTGATGGATTTCCCCAGTGAGTCACCCTGCCTCACTCCTGCAGGTGGGGGAGATCGGGGTTCACTGTGGTTTCCTGGGTTCACAGAGACCCTCTTCACACAGAACTCCCAAGGCTCACCTCCCAGAGGTCTCCTCTGACCTCCCAGATCCCTGTACCCGGGTCCATGCAGAGCTACATTTGTAAAGGACACAGAGCACCTACCTTCCGGCTCCCAATATCCTAGCTCAGGGTGTGACAGACAGATCAGTGCTGGCACTCAGAAGTGTGTCACTGGAGCAAGCCATCAGTTTCCCAGAGCCTCAGCTCCTCTGGGGTAGAGCGTGGCCCACTGTGAACTCTGTACACATGAGGTGCTGCACAAAAGAGCAGCACAGGAGGCTCCCACTGGGGACATGCTGCAAAGCCCGGATCCCACCTCCAAATCTGAGGAGCGGAAAGGCGGGCAGCACTGTTGCCTCACCCCCAGGAGCCAGATCACTATGAAGACCACGCCTGCTCAGCACACATGGGGCCTAAAACAACTCTGGAGTCTGTCTCAGCCCCGCACCAATTTGCCAAGAAGCTGGGAAAACCTGAGTGCTAATATGGCCAATTACTGATGACCAATGGTACCTCAGATTCAGGTGAGAGAGCGGAGGAACAGATGGTTGCCTGTATTATTAGAGAAATTTGAAATTAGGCAGGTGGCAGCAGGTTTCAAGCCATATGAGAGAATTTTTACAAATGCAGGCCAAATTTACAAAGAATAATAGGCAAACTCTTACTTGATTGTATTCTCTGCTTTCGAAGCTGCCTCGTGGAATTGCTGTGAGGACAGTTTATACATCTCGGCATTCTACAAAGAGAAAAACAGAACTGGTTACCAAAGATTGAAACTTCCCTCTGGCTCCCTCATGGGGATACAACCACATTAGAAATCGACAGATGCTAATTTCTTGACCAGCATCAAAGCAGACTGGTGATTAATCCACAGCTTGGGTTCTAGCTCCTACCCTGCATCGACCACTGCTGCAGATCCCAGAATAGCACGGGCTGGAGGAGCGCTGCGAGGTCCTCCACCCAGGAACAAACCTGCCTGCCACCTGTTTTTGTACATAAAGTTTTACTGGCACACAGCCATACTCATTGTTTACCTACTGTCTATGGCTGCCTGTGTGCTACAATGACAGAGTGGTGTAGTGGTGACAGACACTGCATGGTCTACAGAGCCTAAAACATTCACTATCTTTGCAGAAAAGCATTGCTGAGTCTTGTTCTTGTCCAGCCCCTATTTTACAAGTGGACTCTGCTACCCATCCATAGGGGTGAAGGGAGGTGCTCAAAGCCACACAGCAGGGCTGGGGAGATAGCTCAGCAGCACAGTGCTGGCCTGGTAAGTGCAAGGTCCTGAGTTTGATTCCTGGGGCCCAAAAAAAAAAACCCACACAGTCAGAGCAATGCCGGCCAAGTGTCTGGACGCCCAGCCTGGGACACACTCTGTAGCCTACCTTAACACTTTGCTCATCAGCACAGCAACCAACAGCAACCATGGGTCTGGAGCGCTGCAGGGAGGCTCTGACAGTACCTGCCACACACGCATCTGCACAGCCAGGTTGGCAGCAAGAGACCTACCCGGGCTCATGTCCTGCTGCCATACTGTGACACTGAGTAAGTCACTTAACTTCTCTGTGCCTCACAGGCCTGCTGCTCCTGGCCACACAGGTCCAGACCCAGCACTCTCCTTTCCACGTGAAGCCTAGCCACTTTACTGATTCTCAGAGGAGATGGATCCTGAAACACCTGCCTACCACCTGCCACCATACTGTAGGTGGTAGTGCTACAGGCCCACAGATAGACACCTAAGCACAGGGAGAAGCCATGGCCCACAGCAGACTTTCACAGGAAGTGGATTTTAGAATACAACAACCCAAGACAGAGAAAGGTCAGTTGGTGCCAGGAGGGCCAGTGTTAGACACATTGGTCAGACCTCCCCAGTGGACATGCGGAAGATAGCAGCAGGTGCCATGTGGTTGCCAGATCTGACCACATGTGCCCCACAAAGCTGCCATGGAGCAATCGTCCATGCTTTACAGATGAGCAAACAGAATCTTTGGGCTCATAGGTCGATTCCTGCAAGGAGCTTGAGTGGCAGTGAAGACAGCGAAGCTGCAGGGCTGTGCTCCCCAGCCTGCTTGTGACATACATAGCCTAAACTGATCACACCTGCACCAAAGGAGTAGCCAGTCCTTAGACAGGGGACAGTGAATGGTCCTCAGTTCAAAGCCCCGCAGGCAGAGCAGTCACATGCATGTGGAAGCCAGGCAGGTCTTTATGGAAGGCTGCACAGGCAGGCAGAGGACCTCCCCGCATAGACCCACAGGCATGGAGGGCAGGTCTAGGCTGGAACCTGCTGCCGTGGATTTCCCTACTGCCCCTCAGCCCCTGAATGTGTTGACTGGGAGGTCTGAGGGGTGGGGTGGGAGTTGTGGGGACCCAGCTCCTAAGTGAGAGCACCTGGGGCACATGGCCACTGCCTGGTGCTGGAATTCTGCTCTGGGCTGGGCCCAGGACAGCCAAGGAGGATGGGAGCCACTTGTGGGCCTCTCCCTCTCCAGCTGCCTGCCGAGTGGGCTCAGGCAAGATTCCCTGCCCGTCCTCTTGTTCCCTCACCTCTGAACTCGGAGAGAACCCATACCCCTCAGGGGTTAGGAATGCCAGCCTGGAAATGCCAACACTCCCAGTACAAAGCAGGCATGAAGTAAAGGTGGGTTTTCCTCCCATCCCTCGCCAGGCGACACCAAACGCCCAGCACCAGGGCACCAGTGTTCTCTGTGGAACCCTCATTTCCACCCAAGACATGACTTTGCCTGGGCCAGTCTGACACTTACCAACACAGACTGTTCTAGGAGAGGAGGTAAGAACAGAGGTCAGTGAGTCAAATCAGGGCCTCCTCACGCTTCTTGCAGGCCTCTTCTAAGACATCAGTGGTGGGGTCAGACTCCCTTGGCCTCTGCATTCAGGGGCTGTCCCTAGGATGTGGTGTGGCTCACAGGGCCACAAGGTAATTTGTGCTGGCCCGTGCCAGCTGTGGTCTCCAGGTAAGCCACACACTTCCTCTGGGCCTTGTTTTCTTAACTGTGAGACAGGGTGACTGAGACACAGCCAGGCACATGGCTCCCATTTGGTCCAGCACAGCCACTCTGACTATGCCGCTGACATTTCTGAAACTAACATGTGCATTACCCGAATTGCCCCGCTAAGCTCTTGTCAGTGTCCTTTCCACAAGTCAACCTCATGGCTCAGGCCTTGTCTCTGCCTCAAATCTCTCTTGTGGCTGTGCTGTAGGACTCTGGTGTCATTCTCTGGCTGTCACCTGTTGATGTTGGTCTCAAAGGGAGGACTGTGGCCAAGAGAGGGCTTGGCACGCTGGGGATGACAGATACTCAGAGCCTGTACTCTGGACCCTGTCTCTCCAGGAGCAGCCTGGCCCGAGTGACAATGACAAGTGATTGTGTTGCCAGCTTACAGTTAACGTGTGGTTAGCAAGATTTGTCATAGGAAGTACCCACAGGCCAAGAAGTGGTTGTGATTACCCCACTGTAGCTTCCGCTATCGTTTCTCAGAATGACTCAGTGAAATTCCCTGTCAAGCCCTGTCCTGTCCTGACCCACCCGCCTTCCTCATCTAATCTGCCTGACCAGACCCACAGGGACAGATGTCATCGTGACCACAGCCCCCATGTCACAGGAAGGTCTCTGGCCCATAGCTTGAGAGTATAGTGCTGTCTTCCTGTGTTCACAAACCTCTTGCTCATTTGGCTTTCCTGAGACTGTTGGAGTGGACCAGACCACTTCTTCAGGAATAAGTAAGGCAGGCTCCATGACTAATCACCATTGAGGGGCTCCTCAGAGGGCTGGCCACCAGCAGCACTCATCCCAAGAACGCATCAAGTACCAGAGGATTTTGAGACAAATGCATCTGCCATGGCCCTGGGGGTGCACATACAACACCATGTCAGGTTTATAGTTGTGCCAGGTGCTGTGGGCACAGCTGAAAGGGCAGCTTAGCTGAAACTACAGGTCAGACTATCTCCTTGGAAGCTGATACCAGAACCAAGACATCTTTTTTTAATATTAACTAATGTTTTTTGAAAAATTAATGCATATAATTTAAATAATGAGAGCAGGCAGGACAGTATCTTAGTCACTTTCTTATCACTGAGACATAATACCCAATGCCTACAACTTAAAGGAGTTTATTTTGGCTCATGTTTTAGTCCATAGCTGGCTGGCTCCAAGGCAGAATCACATGGCAGAGGGGCCTGGCGGAGGAGAGTTGCTCGTGGCATGGTGTATAGGAAACAGTCAAGGGAGGTGCTACAGAGGGAAATACACCCTTCCATGCTATGTCCCCCATGACCCCTCTTGCAGCCAGGCCCACCTCTTAACAGCACATTTAGCTATACACTGACCAGTGGGCTAAGCTACCCATGAGTATACAGCACACCTATGATGCAGTTACCTCTCAAAAGCCCTGCCCATGATTGCACAAGGCTTTGGGGGGTTTCTAGATATAAATCATAACATCCTTCCCCTGGCCCCTAAAAGATCTGTGTGGATCTCTTTATTTTTTTTTTTTATTTATTTTTTTTTGGTTTTTCTCCTGTACCGGGAACCGAACTCACGACCTTGCGTTTGTCAGGCAGGCGCTTTTGCCGCTGAGCTAAATCCCCAGCCCCAACAAATGATATTTTGGTTATTGTTTTTTTTTTTTTGGTTTTTCTCCGGTACCGGGAACCAAACTCACGACCTTGCGCTTGCCAGGCAGGCGCTTTGCCGCTGAGCTAAATCCCCAGCCCCTGTGTGGATCTCTTTATGAAAAATGCATTTAGTTCACCTTTAAGAGTTGCCAACTGCCAACAACTTCAGCATTGCTAAAAAGTCCAGTTCTAAAGTCTATCTGAGATTTAAGGCAAATTCTTAGCTGTGAGCTACTGTAAAACTCAAAAAGAAAGTTAAACACTGCCAGCATACAATAGTCCAGGTTAAACATTCCCATTCCAGAAGGGAAAAGCGGGTCATAGAAATAGGACCAAAGAAAGACCAAAACTCAATAGGGCAAACATTAAATCCTGCAGCTCTGAGTCCAGCAGCCATCATGAAGATGTGAGATCCAAAGGCTTGCCTGCCCCTACCCTATAGCATTGGTGGTAGATACAGCCTTTATGGCTTCTCTCTTTGCTCTCTCCTTATGGCTTTCCTCAGACATTCCATATTCTTGGCTTCTAAAACTTCCTGGGGTCCCACATGAAATCTCAGCCTCATTCTCACAGTTTCAAGCACTAGCCTCTCAGGGGAACACTGCCTGGCTTCCCAGACCTTCTCAAATCTGGCTGGAAGCCTTTCTGATGCCACAACTCCTGTATTCCGCATGTTTATAAAACTAGCACTACGGGGATGATGCCAACATCTGCTGCCACACTGAACAGTAGCTGGGCCCTTGAATCATGGCTGTAGAGACATCTGAGTGCCTGGATGGCTGAGATACTATGAACTGAATCCCAAGAACAAATTCTCTATGTGGCCATGCTGAAGCCCAGAACCCTGTGACTCTCTTCTCAAAATGAAGTCTTTCATTTTTGTAATTTTGAGCCTGAAGGGTGGGGCCTTGCTGGTTCCTCACATTTCCTCAAGGCCCTTTTCTTACTCTCCTGTTGTAAAGTCCTTAGCTTCTTTTTAATGATACCATTTTTAGCCGCAAAGCTGCCTCTGCTCCAACTTTATAGACCCTAACTTTATAGGAGTTTCTTTTCTGGTGAAACTCAAAACCTAAAATCAAAAGCCATTTGCTCTTGAT